GGCGGAATGCCACTGCTCAAATTCGCTACAAAGGATGTTCTTTGCGTTGATTCATTTGGAGCGTAGATGTTGTACAGGAGGAACTCCTCTTCCTTCCACTTAAGGTGCATGGAGCACCATTTGCCCTCTTGGAGATCTGCCTCCTTTCGTATTAGAATTAATGTTTGCTGCCCATATTTCATCTCTTATACCTCCCATTTTTCTTGCGATGAATTTCCGGATCCTGTTGTGTTCCTGGGAGAAGGAGAGATGTGTCTCTTGAAGCAATATAATATCCGCAACTAATTTGTTGTTCGACGTCAATCCGGTGAGAATATCATTCCACTTTTCTTCTCTGTCTATGACATTCCCCAGACCGTTGACGTTCCAACTCCTAATAATGATCCCTCGGTTTCTCCAGTCCACTGACCCCCGCCTTTCGTTTGTCAGTCTTTTGATCTCCTCCATTTCGGTTGTATTCCCTAGTTCGACATGAATGTGGTTCTACGAGGAGTGACCTAGGATGGTGCTCTGCTTCCCGTGTCCTCTCGCATGGGCTCGTCCCCCGAGCCTTCCCTCTCTGCGGACTGCCCTATATCCCCACTCATCTTCGTTCCCTGGTCATCTGCTCGCGAAGACCCCTCGCTCTCAAGGTTTGATTTGCCTGAATCAACTTCTTGAGCATCTTCCTCTTTTTCCATGTCTAATTGCCAGCCCTGCAAGTAATTGTCTGAGCCCTCACTCCTATAGAACCTATCCCAATCTACTGGGTATGCCATGGCATCGAGATCTCCATCCCCCCCCAGGGTGCCCGTCGTGACCAACTGGGCAACCGAAACTGCCGTCAACTCCGTCGGTAAACACGGGCCTGCTAGAACGTTGTATGGCACTGCTGTTACCGTCCGCCAGGGTCTCCATTTCATCCCTGTTTTCAAGCTTGTTGTCGTCGCTAGCTTGACTATCAGGGGCGAAAAGGCTTGGGGAGATTGTCTCCCTTGTTCTGATCATTGAGACGCTGTGTCCTCCTGCTCTAAGGGAGACTGTGAGTCTATCTGGGTCACCCCACCCGGTACTGTGTCGTAAACTCCCAGAGGGTAGTCTGACGTTACCTTTTCCCGGAGAATATCTGCCACATTTTGGCCTTCCTCGAAGCAAGGAATCTGGAAAGAAACGTCTGTAGCAATCTGCCATTCCTCAAATTTTTCCATGTACCTTGCTGCGATCAACGGGCGGATGTTCATCAGCGTCAGGCGAGCAGATCGAGCTGTTTCCACCACCAAGGGTGCTTGGTCCTTGGCAATGTGCGATATCGTGATGAATTCTGAGGCGTACTTTTCATTCAGCTTTTTAAGCTTGTCGGTTTGGGCTAGGACAACCACCGCTTCTTTTTCCAGCAGCGAGCGTTCCGAGTCCTCGTGGGATTCTGTTTGCATTACGTGTGGATTCTTCTTTTTTTGGTTCTTCCCCGATTTCCACGTAGATCCTGGAACTCATCTTTGGACTCAGGAATCGTTCTATCTTTATCCTTCAACCCTTGTTCCCTTGCTCTTTTCTTTTCAGCATACCGAAACGCTGTATATTCTGACAGTTCCTCAGCTTTGACTTTCCTGAGAGCGTCAGATTGGTTAGTGGCGAACCCTGCGCCCCCAAGCATCCCTTTTTTGCCACTTGTCAGGGATCTCTCGGCGTGTTTCAAACAAGCTGCTTGAACATCAAAGGCATGCTCTCTTTCCCTCTTGACCTTGTCCACGTACTCTCCCTGAGCCACTGCAGCGACCGTGTTGCTTCCATTTCACTGCCCGTCGTTGTGCTTCCACCTTTTGCATTGCTCCCCTCCCCACCTTGCTCAGAATCTGTTCCCCTTGTGTCTGGGGCCTTTTCCCCCTCTTCATTCTCAGTAGAGGGGGTGATCGCTCCCTCACTTCCTCTGGTTTCTGTCGCTCTCCTCTTCTTTAGCCCCTTCCTGGTTACCTTTGTCCCCCTTATTGTCCAGTGTTCGTTTGTTATCTGCTTGGACTCCTTTTCTCGTGTGAGTCGCTGTTTGTTCCAGACTTCTCAGCCAGCTCTGGATGGTGTATGGCTCTTTGATGAAATGCTGGACTGCTTGTTCCTTGACCGTGTCCAAGTCCCAAAGCAGGTCCTCTCTGTCCTTTTCTTCTTTGATTACCCGCGAATCGATCAAAGGATCGGTTTTGATCTTTGTCGGGTTGCCTGTCATCTTCCCCGTGGCTTTTTTCTGCCATCTGCTGTCTTCCGGGGGAAAGATGTTTGGTTTCTTTATTGATGGTTCATGCCAGACCCAATCCGGTTCTTCCAAGTTATCATCGAATACCCAACCATTGTAGTTGCTGTCCGCAATGAACCAGATTCTCGGGGCATCCTCCACCTCAACCAGCATATTAGGGAGGAGTTTGTGCTCCTTCGTTTGTTTCGGGTATTTGGGACTGTTAGGATCTCTACCCATGTGCCCCTGTTCCCTACATTGAAAACAGATCGGTGAAGTCTTGGTCGATACTTTAATCTCCACTGTTCTGTTTTCAATCTGGAGTTTCCAGTTTTGGGGAAAGACTGGGGGGTTGTTTGTTTTGACTTTCGGCACTGCAGTCATCGAATCGCAGTGCGGGGCCAGGAAGTTAGGAGTTGGCAAGATCCATTTAAGAATCCTGTTCGTTGGGTACTGTCTTTCTAATATATCCACCAGCAGGCCGTGGAAACCCGGTTGGATGTTGTCGAACTGGACCCAGAAGTTCTCTTTTAACAAGGTCTGTTTGTAGAAGACAAAAAAGACTGGATTTTGTCTCTGTGCGGCCACTTTTTTCCACTTGGTGATCGTGCAGACCGAGCCGTTGCAGTTCCTGGACCGCATCTCGGCTGCCGCTTTTGCCTGTTCTTCTATGATAAACAGTGCCATGATGTTGTTTCTGCCCAAGTTTTGCAGCGTGAAAGTCTCTTCCGTTTGTTTTAGCTTCAATTCTCTCTTGATCGTTTCAATGACTCATTTGCGTTTCTCAGCTGGCTGCAGTTTTGCGCCTCTTCGTGCAAAATTAAATACCACTCAGTGTCTTTCATGCAGGTCATCCAATTCCGCCACCTTCTCTTCTAGATACTTCCACACAATGATTTCCTCTTCTTTTCCCTTTGTTTTTTTAATCTTCGTGGTTTGTATCCCTTGTACCTTTGTCTTATTTATTAAGAATTTGAGCGCCTCGTTGTCTATTATGTTAATGCCGTTCTCCCCCATGTTTTGATTCAATGTGCCCACACTTTGGGTTGGGGAAGCCATTTTCTTCCACTACGGAAGAATCAGTCCTTGCCTACTCTTTGTCCGCTGTCCGATCTGTCCGCTCTTGTTTCGTGATGCCAGGTCAGGTAGTGTGGGATGAGTGACCAACCCAGGGGGGAGGGGGGAGGAAGGGGATAGATTGGAAGAATAGTAGGATCGATTCGGAGGTGAGATGGGACTCAGGTTGGGATCTGGGTGGGGATCTGAGTTGGGATTAAGGTTGGGTCGAGATGAGATCAAGTGGGGACTAGGTTAGGATCAGGGTGGGATCAGATCGGGATCTGGATGGGATCAAGACGGAGGCTAATCCGAATCGGGATGAGAGCAAGGCCGGGATTGGGGAGGGGTGGGACAGGGGTGGGGTTCTACAGGGGATGGGGAAGGAACCGAGGTGGGACCAGGTTGGGATTGAGTCTAGTATTGGATTAGAACCATGGTCGATCGTGGGAGAGACGGGGAAGAATGATGGGAGCGTGATGGTGGGGGGAGCATGTCTGGGGAGGAAAGGGTGGGAGATGTCTTGCTGTTTAACAGAGGGGCGAGGGAAGGTATTGATGGACACTGGGAGGGTGGAGGAAGAGCACTTTAAGGTTCGATTGGGCAGTCGACGATCGAGAAAAAGGGAAACTCGGGGAGGATGGAGAGAGGGTGGGAATATCAAGTCTGCCCAGAAAGTGTGTAGGTGCAATAAGGATGGGCACGCAGAGGACAATGGACAGGAGAGTAGGAAGGGCCAGTAAGGGATTGGTGTGGAGATGGGTGGGTAGAGTGATCGGGGACCGATGAGAAGCAGAGTCGGATTCAGTTCAACCTGGATAAGGAAAAGGGTGAGTGAGTCGGAATCAAGTAATCGGGGTAGGGTGAGGTGGGCTGGGGTGGATCGGGGTGGGTCGGGATATGGAGATGGTTGAGCCGGGGTAAAGGAATTGGGTAGGGTATGCGAGTTGAGGTTAGGGATCGTATGGATCGAGGTTTGGTTGGGGTCGGGATGGGACAGGATCAGGGGTGGGATGGGGATCGGGGTTGAACTGAGGGTCAGGATTGGCGAGAGTCGAGATGGATCGGGAAGGTAGGGGGTTGAATTGGGATTGGGGGGGAATCAAGGTTGGGATTGGGCGGGAGTCGAGGTCGGGGTGGGTCAGGATCGGAGAGAGCCGGGCTCGGGGTTGGGAGGGAGTCAAAATCGGGATGGGAGTCGAAATTGGTGTTGGGATCTAGGTCGGGATTGGGGGGGGAAGGAGTTGAAGGGGATAGCAATGAGATCTATCAGGGTCGGGAAGGAGACGAGATCAGGATGGGGGGTAGTC